TCGTTCAAACTTTGTAGATATATCGAGGACCGATGACATATACACAATTTTTTTTTTATCAAAATACTTTACTGAACAAGCACCTGCCACGGTATGTATTTCATTCTTAAGTTTGAAATTTCTTGTTTTCATTTTATGTAGCCTATATGTTAGAAACTGTATATGCTTTTTATTTGAGATTTATATTTTAACATATTTTGTTTTTAGTTTGAGATATTTCTCCACGTGTACATAAGTATTTTTTATGATATTAGTAGTGATTAGTAGAGATTAGTAAAAGTTACCGAGATGAACGGCCTGTAATTTTTTAAATCTAGTTTATGGGTCAGACAATGTTTAGTTTGATAACATTTTATAGCGATTAGTATATCCAAAAAACTTCTGAAAGAATTCCAATTTTTCTTTTTTAAGAATCCTTATTTTAGAATATTATCAACTGATTAAAGAAATAATTAGTCAAAATCGTCAAATGCTTAAAAACAATCAGCATTTCATATTTATTTATATATTTTTACGAGTGACTTTAAGTTCGTCAGCAGTAATATTTAAACTAATTTTTTTTCATCTTTTTGAAGACATCTGATTTTTACGTATTTCTTAATATAGGATCAAATTTAGCACTTTAGCAGATTATTGTAGAGTAATTACGGTTATTTTTTCATATTCCACGGGCCTCTATTCTACAGAATAAATATTGTTTACAAAAATATTCTAATAAATGCATTTTTTTTTCTATGGCAACACAAATTTGTAGTAGCAACTTTTTCAAGATATAAAACACTATATAGTATAAAATTTTAGCTGAGATTACAGAGCATTTAGTTACCTTTTAAAAGAAAGAAAGATATTTCTTTTAAAAAGGCACAATGCTTATAAAATTCACTAGAGTTCCTGTAAATAGGGTTCATATAGGGTCCCAGTGTAACCTCAAGAAGAAACTACAATTTTCCTTTCGTTGTCCGCGTTACGTGTTGTCAAATAGACAAAAACATTATAACTGTTCACCCATCTTAATATCAGCCTGTGGTGACATTGCTTAACCAAGTCAATCTCTTGTTTAAAATATTGAAATTGATTTTTATATAAACCATTAATTTATACTACGAGATTCTTTTTGAGATTTTAATTGTTTTATTTATAATTATTCAGTTGTCTGGACTCTTATAACGAGTACAGGCAGCTATGAAAACTTTAAATTTGCAATTCTTTTATGTTAGAGGGGGCAGACGAGCAGACGGGTCACCTGATGGAAAGTGACCATCGCCGCCCATGAACGTCTGCAACTCAGGAGTCACAAACACGTTGCCGGCCTTTTAGGAAGGAGTACGCTCTTTACTTGAAGGTTTGAAGGTCTTATCGGTCCGGAAATACCGCAGACGACAACCCGTCCCACAGATTGGTTGTGCGGGGCAAAAAGTGTCTCGAAAAGCGCACAGTAGTGGAGCGCCAACTATCCAGGTGATGAGGATAAGAATTTGAACGATGGCGGCAAGTTGTAAAATTAATTAACTTTTACAATTCCAATATTACGAGTGTTATATCTATCAATATACTTTTGTAATACTATAGATTTAAAAAAAAAAACTAAAACCGTCTTGTCGCAGCGAAACAGCTTCAAGACAAGACTTCGGCCGAATCATCAGCAGTTTAAACAAAACTAGTGGCTCTTCTTGGACCGTCCCATAAACTATAGAACCGCCTACCAAAAAAGTTTGAAAAATGTCGAGTTAAGACCAGACTAAAGAGAACAGCACAGAACGACTCTCTTTTAACTAGATCGACGTCTTGGTTTAGGTAGACTCGAGATATCATAAATCCTGGAAGACTGGGAGATGCGTAGAGCAGTGAAAATTCCATAGCTCCTTAACAATGTAGAATGTTGAATTTCAGAGGTGATTCTTAAACAAAAACTCAAATTGAACCCTACATGTTTTGGTTTTAAAGCTCATTTCAGCAATCATTATCCCGCAATACATAACCACGGTTTCGAACCCCACCCACGTATGTGATGATAAAATTAAAAAAAATATTAATAAAATTAGCTTAAATATGAATAAATAAGGCAACATAACAACTGACTAATTAGTTACATTTACATGCACAGACAACATTTAAAGATTACATGAACATTTTTAACCTAACAATCAATATATTTATATTTCAAATACAAAATCGTTACGAAAATCTAGGGAAAGTGCCAGCTCACTAATACATAACTGGTATTTTAAAAAGAACACGTTACAGTGTCACCACCCCTATTCAGCCCGTGGGTGTCGTAAGAGACGAGCAAACTACACAGGACAACAGCACTGCAAAGAGAAGGTAATCTTGACACAAACCCTATACCAACCCGTCTAGCCAGCGTGGTATAGTAGGCCAAAACCTCCTTTCTAAGGAGAGCCCTATGTCCCGCAGTGGACTAGTAAAGGCTGTTGATGATTGATGATACAGGTATATATATTTTCTTGTCCCAATGTTTATAATGTTGTCTGTACATGTTATTTCTATACAATACTCTTACTTTAAAATGAGTTCATATAGATAATATACAATATTGTAACAATTACACTGCTGTGGTGAAACATTGTGGCTTAAATAATTTGTGGTACATTTCTAATTAAATAATATTAATGAGGGTTTTCGATACTTTTTCAGCCACCAGACGGCGCTTCGTATGCGTGAGGTCCAAACAGCTGTCAGATAGCACAGATTCTTACCGAACATATATTTTTTTAGTGAAATTCTATGAATTTGAAAGTGTTATTGAGTTTATTATGGATTACGGCCAGAGAAAGGTTGCCGAACTGAAGATTGAGCTCAAAAAGAGAGGCGCAAAAGTCACTGATACTAAAGAACTTATGCCCTTCTGTATTATTTGCACACATAGGCACTGCACAACACTGTGGCATTTTAGAAAACAATATTGCTTTTGTAACGTTTTTAAGAATGAATAAACCAAAAAAATGATCGAAAAATACAAATCGTGTATGTATTTTGACAGGTGGTTGGACTTGCCGCTACAGTGCTGCCATCTCACGTGGAACAGTTCAGAAAACCCTCATTGTACACATCACTGTGGCCTTGGTCTTTGACTACACGACTTTTGTTTATTTACGGAGGTAAATTATTTGGTATAGAGTTTTTATAAGGAAATGTTTAATTATTGCAAATATTCTAATACAAGTATTTAGCCCTCGTGACTTTAGAGTTTATGGAACAATTGAGTTTCCAGTAAATACAATATTCTTTTCTGAATAATAATAACTTCCCACTACTTATATATACATATATACTTATATATTTCTAAATACATACATATTTTAGATAAATTTTACACCCAGACACAGAACAAATGATCTTGCTCATCACACAATAATTTATCCTTGATGGGAATCGAACCCACGACCTCCGACTAAGCAGTCAGGGTCTTGAATATAATATCAATAAAAAATATATAATATCAATGTTTTGGTACATTGAGAAGATATAACTCATGAGCTAAAATTCCTACAGTATTCCTGCGGAAGATAGGAATTACCATGATTAAACAGAATCGCCAGAAAGACATTAAAAGATGGATTATTGATATGGCAACACACAATAATAACCATTGCCACAACACAAAAATAATATAATCTAATAATAATATTATTTAATTAGAAACACTTTACATTTTAATGATAATTTGTGACAATTTTGAGATTTGTAATTCGGTAAAATTACCTGTAGCAATGATAACTAACACATGTATTTATATAAATTTCAAGGTCCACCATATTTAACCTTATTGGGCAATTTTATTTATACTAATCGGCGTGAAAACTTTCATATCGCGATACAGGATTACCAGTTGCTTTGTAGTACGGTGTGACTATCATAGATGGCACTGTTCTATGTTTTTTGTTTCACTATGTGTATTTGTATTGTATTGTACAATGTAGATATAAAACAGAATTTATATCAGCTGTCGTAATATATAGAAAAAGAAATGATCATTTAGAATACAAAACAAATACACTTTAATAGCCAAACAAATTAAAGAATGAAAATGGATCCACTATTTTCATCATCAGACCATAACGTCACCAAGTCCAATCTGTTTGACTGAAATCAGATCATATGAAGCCAAATTCGAGGGGTTCATTGATAGCCACTTAGAGGTTCCACTATCTATATTCTAGCCCCATCATCAGATTTAAGTTGCCAAATTAAGGAATTGTCATCCAAACTACACATACAGACAAAGTAACATTTCGATACGATAATTAAAAGATTCGTTTACATAAGTTACTAGTTTTTTTTTTATGTTAGAGGGGGCAAACGAGCAGACGGGTCACCTGATGGAAAGCGACTACCGCCGCCCATGAACGTCTGCAACTCAGGAGTCACAAGCGCGTTGCCAGCCTTTGAAGAAGGAGTACGCTCTTTTCTTGAAGGTTTGAAGGTCGTATCGGTCCGGAATTACCGCAGCCGATATCTTGTACCACAGATTGATAGGGCGAGGCAAAAATTAAGTAAATAAGTTAAGCTAATAGTGTTTTTTTACTATAACTTACAATAACTTATTTCGTTCATTTGTACCAAATCAGAATCCCAAGTCCGCCATTCAGGTTATTTTACCAAATCACACGTGTTATAAATATTCACCGAGTAAACCAATTCTCAATAATTTTAACATAACTATAACACAAGCTTATAACAACTTATTGAAATATTTAACAAAAAATATCAGTTTTTTTTACACTTACGTACGTAATCAATAATGGTGACTTCGCCATAACAGACTTTGCCGCGGATGTGTGACTTTGCCGCGGATGTGTGACTTTGCAGCGGATGTGTGACTTTGCAGCGGATGTGTGACTTTGCCGCGGATGTGTGACTTTGCCGCGGAAATGTGACTGACGCAGCAAATGTCTTGATATTCATTACCCTCATGACTTCGCCACAATGATTACACCACAATAGTTGAAATATATATTTATTATGATATAAAGATGCAATCAACCCGTGTTGGGGTGAGATTTTTGTTCGAATATCGCTGCCATATCCCTTATGTTATAAGACGGGGAAACTTTTTCTTTTCTGTAATTAAACGGAAAGATGTTTAGATGAGAAATTAATAGACATTTTTGTTTATTACATATCTCCAACGTATGTCAGCATCCAGCACCCAACATCAACGTATAATACTCATAACATGTAGCTTGGAAATATACACCCACACTACAAAAAGTAATAAAAACAAATATGTTTTTTTTCGTAAATCACCGAACAGCTTGTTCCACCATGGTCTTCTGTCAGTTGAAGGATCATATTTTATGGGACAGTTCCATTTGATATACTTACTAATATTTTAGTAGGCCAAAACCTCCTTTCTAAGGATAGGCCTATGTCCAGCAGTGGACTAGTAAAGGCTATTGATGATGATGACTAATATTTTATGACTCCATAACTATTGACTGTTCATAGTCATTGGCTTGTGGGGGGAGGAAGTAATGGGAAAATTTTCTTTTCTTCTAAGTTCGATTATTTAATAATTAATATATTATTTTATTTAATAAAATATAAAAGAGGTAAATCTTCCCATTTATTCTATAGTTTTATATATAGTTTATACTAAACGCGAGTTTTAGAACCTACAGTACGAGTTGTACTTGATTTGAAACTAGATGGCGCTGTGTAACATGTCACAAATTTTGTTGTTATTATTTAAGCGATCTGATATGTTATTTTTTAGTTCCACTTCAATGACACTGATTAATTTTGCGCAAAAAAAAAACAATTAAATTGTTACTTTTGAAGGATTTAAGCCAATTTCACATAAATCAAACATCAAATTATATCGGGACTTAATATAGAGAGGCATAATAACATACCTTTACATACATTACTATAAATATTCATTTCTACTAATATATAAAAATATATAATTCATCATAAAACTATTTAATTTTATTTATAACATTTCAACACAAACATCTCCATTTTTAAAGGAGATTTTCGCCTATCCTAAACTTCTATATATTAATAAAAATGAAATCTACAAATATAAAACAAGACTTTCCAATAAAAACTCACCTGTCAAACTCTCCCCCATCTACCACGAACTCTTTGTCGGGAGAAAGAGATTGTATAGACTCCAGATTATTACTGCTCTTAGCAAGACTAAATCTCATTCTCTGTCCAAGATCAACCGTATTTCTCCTCTCGAATTTAGGCAATTCTTCTTTTAGCTTATCACACTCTTCTACTTTGTCTTCTTTATCTTTTCTAATTTTTATTCTTGTTAACTGTTCTGGATTGCTTCTAAATGATTGTGAGCTATATTTCTCCCTAAGGAATAATCTGCGTTCTTCTTTGTATTTCTCTATTCGTTCTCTGCTTAATTTTTTATCTGTATCTAGAGTTATAAGACTTTTGATGTCTGGACGATCGAATCGCTGTACGAGGGAGATCTTGTTTTCACTCGTAGGGGTAATAACCACTTTGTTTTCGTTTTCTACAGTATTTAAATTTAAGTCTGGAAGTTTTTTGCTAGATACTTTTACTTCTAAACTTTTTCGTCTATCATTTTGCTCATTACCAAATTCTTTGACAAAAGCATTCTCGTCTAAAGATCTAGCAGAGTTTTTCGATAGTTTATAAGACGTCGGTGGCACAGTGGGAGGTTTTGAGTCATTCTTCTTCGCTTCTACTACTCTTTTCTCTTCTTTTCGTTCTAAACTTGGATATTTAATTTCAGCTTTGAATTTTTCGAATGTAAATTGAGATTTCAGTTCCGTGGGACTCTCAAATCTTATAGCCAACTCTCTTACATTCATGCTTTTAAAATTACCATTGTCTATTCCGTTTTCAGTATTATCTATGTCATTAATTTCAAGATCCTTATCACATATTTTAAGTGTGTCAACATTAATATTTTCGTAATCATTTTGTTTTTCAAAAGCGATATTTTCGTAATGTCTATCTTCTGGTAACACCATTGCATTAACTTCATCTATACTCTGTTTGAAGAACTTAACTTGGCTGTATACATCAACATCCTCTCCTAGATTCGTCTCTGTCGGCGTTTCTAGGATGATCAGGTCCTGTATATCATCAGGTTGGCAGGCCTGTTGTGTTGGTAAGCAGGCATCGCTTTGAGGCACAGTGGCTTCTTCCACTATAGACAAATTCTTTTCTAGATCAATATCTTCGTAAACTGAATCTCTGTCGTTGGTGGGAGTTTCTTCGAAATTATTAGTTTTCGTCGGTGATCGAAATGTAATACTAATGGTAGATTTCAATGGGCTTTTCAACGGTGATCCTGGGGAACTTTTACTTGTGCTAGAAGATTGTAAATTAATATAATTCGGTCTTGTAAAGTTGTAACACTCGTACAGTTCATCACCTTTCGTCAAACTGACGTTTGAATAGCTCGAAGAGCTTTCGTGTGATGACGTCATAACTTTCATAGCCTCGTTTTCATCTTTCTTCTTATCTGTATGATCTGAATTGGATGAGTTGGACACAGCGGACAGTCTATTCAAATTCTGATAGCTAATGTCGGTTTGGAGTGGACTGTGCTCTAAGCTATCGTGTAAATTCTCGGTGAAATCTTTTAAATTTTCATAATCTGTAGCTTCTAATTCACATTTCAAACATTTTTCTTCGTCACAATTGTCACAGTCGGATAGTTCTGATGTTATTTGTATAGTGTGTTTGTTCGTATCGCTCACTTCTGAATCGCTTTCTAACGGGTCGTATACAGGTGTGACAGGGGTGATGGGACTTGAATTTATTGTGGAATTCGTTAGGGTGCTAACAGAGTGTTCGTTAGGCCAATCAATTTTTATTAATGTCGAATGGCCGTCCTTTCCTTGCCAACTGAGACGGTTGGTCTGTTTGTCTGTATCGAGATGCATGCCGCTATAACGGGTGGATTTTGTCTTACGCGGTGAGTTTCTCTCTCTGTAATATTAGTTAGGGTGAGTGTAAGCTTTGAAGTTTAGGTATTACTTGGGTTATAATATGTGGTTTTGAATGATATTATTGTGGATGGAGAATTTTCAATGTGTTGGTAGAAAACGTGCGTATGAACATTATACTGTTTTAAAAGACTATTGGGAAAATACGGTAGACTTTTAAAGACCTAAATTACAGTCACCATAATATTTAAACAAATAAAATTATAATGGGTATATTTAATGTGAAGAAAATAATTAAATTTAGGAATAATTTCTTTTTTAAAGACAACGCCCGCATTAGGAATATATAATGTGTCGCGGGGGACTTTACAAACATACATAAAACGGACACAAAGAACACCCAGACCCAGACTGATGTGGGGTTTGAACCCACAACACTCGGCGTATTAGTAAGCGGCGTGACGACCGCTTAAACCACTACGCCATCCGTGCAGTCAACCTTTTATACGCGTTTGCGATTTATAAGTAAATCACCATGTAAATCATCGATCCACAATTCATTATGAGAAGTAAAATTTAAAAGAAGTAGCAATAAACATACATTATGAGTGTTATTATATTTTTTCACTGATTATAAAATTAATTAATATAAAATAATCAAACAACAATCAATAATAACATTTTCGTATCATGCAATCCACATTACACAAAAAAAACAATGATATTATAAATAAATATAAAGACACAAAACCTGGGCTATTTGGATTAGTTTGTGCAGTAATAGTACAGTTTTATAATTATAATAATAATAATAAGCACCCTCCGTGTGGTGACGGATTAAGAATACAGAGTGTCACCACCCCTATTCATCCCCTGGGTGTCGTAAGAGCCGACTAAGGGAACAAACTACGCAGGACAACAGCACTGCAGAGAGAAGGAAAACTTGACACAAACCTTATACCAACCCGTCTGGCCAGCGTGGTATAGTAGGCCAAAACTTGCTTTCTAAGGAGAGGCTTATGTCAAGCAGTGGACTATTAAGGGCTGTGGATGTGATGATGATGATGAGGATATACTGGTTTCAAAAAATCCATTATAGGTGGATCCAGTATAGTGGTTTACAATAGAAAGAGCGGGAAATTAGTAGGATTTTTTTCAAGGCATTGGTAATCCATACTAATTTTATAAATGCGAGTGTTTGTATGTTACCTCTTCACCCTTAAACCGCTAAACAGATTGAAATGAAATTAGGTATAGGGATAGTTTGAGTCCCGGGAATGGACATAGGATAGTTTTTATCCCAGAAATAATAGCGATTAACATAGGCTATAACCGACATACAAGCAAGCGGAGCCGCGGGCAAAACCTAGTCTTTAATAATCTAGTAAAATCCCATACTAAGGAGTTTAAAAAAACTACACTAGATAAGAATATTAAAGCTGCAATTCACTAGATATATAGATAAATATTAAATATCGTATAATGTGCTCAGTTATAATATTAAATAAACATATAAATATAATATTGTTTCGCTGATAGTTACCTCAGTTTAACATTTCCCATTGAAGTTGGGAAGTCTATCAGCGATGCTCTCGGACTGTCCCTGTCTTTGCACAACCTGATGATAAGAAAAAAAGTTATTTAAAAATTTGAGTCTTGGATTTGATTGAAATTATTTTGTAGAGTTATATCATGTTAGCAGTGTGCAAGAGTCTAAGAGTCACTTGCGTATGGCGACGCGTCTCCACACAGTATTACATGTTACATATACTATCACATAGCGTGACACAGAATCGGTAGTTTAAAACCAGTTTAGTTTATTTTCTATGAATAATATGTGTGTATTTACAAAAAATGTATATGTGTATTTATATCAGTGGTCTAGCAAGTACCCCCTTTTTTTTTTTTTTTAACGTGTGGAAACCCCCTCGGACCGTCACCCCACCGGGGTTTGCGGCGGGGCGGTGTGCCACTCTGCGCCTGTAACAGGAGGGATCCGGGAACAGCTGTTAATAAGACATCCGGACCCCTCCTAGCGCCGGCCCGCTCCTATTGCGGGCCCCGTCTCAAAATTGTTCCTCTCTTTAGGCGACGTCCGGCACACGCGGACGCCGCCCCCTCGCGGCTGGCCAAACTAATGCAGGTGGAGGGTAAGTACCCCTTTTTTTTTTTTTTTAACGTGTGGAAATCCCCCTCGGACCGTCACCCACCGGGGTTTGCGGCGGGGTGGTGTGTCGGACTCGAACCGACTAAAACCACACGGTGTGCCCTCTTTGCGCTTCCAGTTTAGGAGTAAACTAGTAAACTAAACTGGAAGGGTAAGTACCCCTAGTACAAGGTCTGAATAGTATATTATATTAGTTCGGTTTAAATAGTACATTTTATTCTTTATAAAAAACATAAAAATATATTGTTAAGATAACTTAGGCAAAAACAAATCAGAAAATGTTAGTTTTAGTTCTGAAAATAACATTATAATCATCATCATCATCATCAGCCTATCGCAGTCCACTGCTGGACATAGGCCTCTCCCATTGCACGCCATTCACGTTATAATAATAATATACAATTCAAAGTTTTAGATTTTTTAATCTGTTTTTAACACAATGAAAAAGCAGCCACCATGTTGTTACGTCATACGGCTGTGTAAACTAAAAAGATACAGTGTCAACTGTCAGCATGATCGCATTTGTTTACTCAGTCTACTGATTTCATGACCACAAGGAATAAAAAAAATAGATTTTAGTGGTTTATTAGCACTATTCAATTCCTATAGGTTAGATGGTGCTAAATATAAAAAAGAGTTGTTACATTTGATATCGAGAAGTATGCATACCGTTTAGCGATGTCAGTGTGGTGGGGAGAGGGAGGTCTGGCGGAGTGACGCTTCTCTGGAGGGGGGCGAGCACGAGGGGACTCCCCGTCTATGTAGCCGATCTGGGATAGCTGTTCTTCTAGGGTGGCGCGACGCCTGAAATAGAGATATTACGTTTTTTAAACCATTGAATTTGTTTAATAAACAGAAGGCAGATTGATAGGCAAAGTTAGTAATCCAGAATTAAATGTGTCATTGGTTAAAATTATTTTAATAAATAATGAATCTTGTGCTGATGTGATAAAGTGCAATATAGATTGCACGCTAATGTCACGTATTTGTAGCTACAAAGGTATGAAACAAGTGCACAGTGGGTGTGTGCATTGCTTTATATTTACATACTAGCTGAGACCCGCGGTGTTACCCGCGTTTGTTGTTATAACCGCGGGCAACGCCGCGGGGCGAAGAAGCCTAAGTTACTCCTTATGTCATCAGCTATCTGCCAGCGAAAGTCCCGACGAAATCGGTCCAGCCGTTCCAGAGATTACCCGGAGCAAACAGACAGACAGACAGACAAAAATTGTAAAAAATGTTATTTTGGCATATGTACCGTGTAAACATACATATGCATTTAGACAAAAAGCGGTTATTTTAATATTACAAACAGACACTCCAATTTTATTTATTTGTATAGATGTATAGAAGATATAGACAATCTTTTGTTATTGTAATGTTATATCACTATAAATACCTATTAGAAGTTATGACTGGTCTTAATATATAATATAGGCATTAATTACAATAAAAAGGTATGGTATCACACATCAACAGCCTTTAATAGTCCACTGCTGGACATAGGCCTCTATTTAGAAAGGAGGTTTTGTACAATCTAAATATATCAAAAAATAGTACAGCTAAGGCGTTCTTATTGCAGTGTGAGATCTCTTAAAGAACGCATTTACATTAATGTAGCCATTTCTATGTTTGTTGGAGTTATCGCGTCGTTAACGGTACCCCGGTAAAGACATTTATTGCAAAGAAAACTGTGTTACATATATAGATGTTTTGTGGTAAGTAAACTTTCAACAGTAACCGTAATCGGCCATTGCAATTTTAAAGTACACTATATATAAAAATGGAAGATTACAATAAGTTTAAAAGGCATGCAAATTATTTTGTGAGAAAATACTCTTGCAAATTATAGATTACATTCTTTATTAACCATTTCTTTAGAGCATTCTTGATCATTTTTCCATCTAATATCTTTATTTCTAGCGGGAGCTTATTAAATATTCTTATTGCTGTTATGTATGTGCTTTTATGGTATACCTATCATATTAGTAATATTAGGTAGGGTAGTTGGTAGTTGTAGGTAAATAGTTCAAACAAAATCAGTATTAAGTTCAAGACAGTTATTTTTATTTGTGAATAATAGTTAGGCTATGTTTAGTAATCTGAGTTGTACGTTATGTTATGAAATACTGATACTAGCACTTTTTTTTATATGTTAGAGGGGGCAGACGAGCAGACGTGTGACCTGATGGAATGTGACCATCGCCGCCCATGAACGTCTGCAACTCAGGAGTCACAAACGCGTTGCCGGCCTTTTAGGAAGGAGTACGCTCTTTTCTTGAAGATTTGAAGGTCGTATCGGTCCGGAAATACCGCAGATGATAACCCGTTCCACAGATTGGTTGTGCGGGGCAAAAAGTGTCTCGAAAAGCGCACTAGCACGTGAGATGGAGTTATTGTTACGACTGAATAAAATAATTAAGTATTACTGTATAAAAAAAAAACTAAAATAGCTGTATGAACATTATTGGCCCGTACAATGTTATTTTAAAATTTGTAGCACATTTACACTTTCATATATAAAATTTAAATATTCTAAATTTCCTCTTTTTATTTAAAACTCCCGCACTAGGAATATACAGAGGGACTTCACACACATACATGAAACGGACACAAATCACACAAAGTGTGTAACAGTTATTTTTTTATTATATTTGTATTGCATACGGAGTTGTAAAAAGCGACATCTGTTGCCTCGCGTCGCATTTGTTGATTTATCTAAAGTAGTTTGTAACTATGGTATTGTTGTTCTTCGTCCGCCATCGGACCACTAGATGGCGTTGTTTTATAGGTAAGTCATTGGATTAATTTATCCTGATAAATTGTATTGGTGTTATAAGTGACCTGTTATGATAGGAAGCGAGTTACTTTTGATTTAGTTCGTGTTAACCTAGATAATAATTTGAGTGACAGTTTGAAATGTTAAAGTAGGGATTCTTTCTGGAAACTTCACAAACTGAACATATATAAGTCCGGCTTTCAGCCACAGGGGACACTCTGCTAATTCTTGTCTTTCGATCTTAAATAGTATTTTGTTTGTCTGGTGATTTCATCTTAGTAATATTTTATCTGTTCGAAGTACCCACGCTAGTGGTGAGTATATTCATAATTTTCTTGTACTTATTTGTTTCTGGAACCTGATCGATAATATGAGTGCTAATCCATTCGTAGGGTCCCAGATTTCGGGTCAAGACGGTCAGTCTTAGACGGCGTGCTTGTTCATTTGTGGCCTTCTGGTGCGAAATCAAGTTTCTTGGTACCCTCTGGCAAACTGGCAGTCACGCGGCTCACCAAACAAGCGGACAGCCGTACTCAAGGGTTACGTACTTCTCGTTAACTTTATTTATATCATTAGTGAACCTTCCTTTATACCTAATATAAATAGCGGACTCGGGCGGAAGGGGAAGTGACCTCCTGGATTGAAGACGAGGAGGCTCCGAGCAGCATCAGCTCGGCTCTGACGCGCGCCGCTGCGGTTTTTTTTTATATACCCACTATTTTTTATTGTAACTGATTTTTTTATTGAAATATACATGTATGTATGACTGAGGTGTAAGTTGTTTTTCTCTAAGGGGTCCCGTAGGTATCCCACACGCACACACTTCTGTTTAATAAAAGGCGCCCTGAGGTAATCTTGTGAATCTCTCCACTGGGTCAGCCGGTGAGTAGTCCGCCTGATAAGAAAAGCGGCTACAAGTGTTGTCCCATGTGGTTCGGACCCACAACAGTCTGGGCAGTAGGAAGCGGCGAGGTGACCGCTTCAGCCTCTGAGTGTAAGTGAGCCAAGGCGTGGTGGTAGTGGTAGTGGTACTCACCGCTCGGCGAGCTCGTTGGCGGCGTGCACGTCCACGCGCAGCGCGCGGCGCGGGCTGGGCTCGACGCTGCACAGCCCCGACTCGGGCGGGCTCGAGCACACCGACTCCTGGGGACAGAACACACACACTATATTTTACAGTTTTTTATGGAATTAAGAACATATCATCGACAGCCTTTAGTAGTCCACCGCTGAACATAGGCCTTACTTTTTGCAGTGCTATTGTCCTGCATAGTTTGCTCCCTTAGTCGGCTCTTACGACACCCACGGGATGAATATTCGATCACTACATTAGTATAACTTAAAAATAAATAAACTACCGTCAGAACTTAATTTTTACTGTTCATTTCTTTATTTAAAACTCTTTTACTCAGAAAAGATTAAGTAAACAAGGAATGATGTTGTCTCCCTCTCACCTGTGCATTGTTAAGATGAATCTGTGTATCGTCCTCTTCGCTGAACATATGGTGGTCTCTCTCTTGCGGAGAGAGGCGCAGGCGCATGTCGGCCAGCTCCGCCTGCCACGGCTCGAAGTAAGAGTCGCAAGATGATGACCTTGTGTATAAAAATTAATTTATTAAGCATTTCATTAAAGGGATAAAACTCAAATAGATGATTTGCTGTCGTTAGTATAGGTTTTAATTTAGACTTCATTCAATAGGTGGCGCTGTGATGGTATATTAAATCGCGCTATCAATACTTTTATACCTAGTCCCGAATAATAGCACTGAATAAGGATAGAAGATAGATTAAAACATGAAAGTGTTGCCTTGGACAGCATATTGAATTAATAAAGTACCTGGTGTGATGCTTGAGAGGTGCAGCAACTCTTTCAGTGAGTGGAGCGAGGGTGTCCGTATCGGAAGTCAAGGATTCACAAGACTTAACTGGTCTCAAAGCAGCTCCCAGCATAGGTGTATCCTGGAAGAAACTTTATATTAGATGTATGGCGTCGGACTGACGACCGGAGTCTTTGCGGACAGTCCAGTATACTCTCAACATGGACCCACTCTTAAGACAAGTGTTATCAAGAATCTAGTCCGAATCTAATTCTGCATATCTTCGCTAGATGGCGTTATAATACATAAAGCTCAATGTGGGCCCAAAAATGACCTGGGTTCTGTAACGCGATCATGGCGGCAGGTAAGTAAGTGGAGTAGATACTCACCAGTGGAGGAGTGGGGGGGCTGGGCGTAAGTGCGATGCTGGGGCGAACGGCGCGGGCTCTCTGCTGCTTACTGCGGGTGAATAAGCCACGCCAACCCGAAGGAGAACGCTTCAGCCCGCGTTTACCTAACGTACACGGAAAAATAACTCTCATTTCTTAGATATTTATAACAATAATATTGTGGGACATATTCAAAATTACTATCTAGACACAAATTAGGTACAGCTTATGATGTAAATTCTAGAACACAGACATACATACAGATAGATTTTTGATGTGAAACATCTAATGAGGAGTGTCAGGCCGGTTGTAGGGATGGCGACGCGTCGCCACGACATGTGTCGCTACATAATATATGTAACATGTAATGCGGTGTGACGGAGACGCGTCGCCATGTTTCTTTAAAACTTCCTACAAATTAATTTTTTCTACAAAATAATTTCGATGTTCGACATTGCCAGACAATGAAACATACATATTTTAAGGTTTTTTTTTATGTAAAACTACAAACTTTTAACCACTATTTACTAGCGTAGAATATATAATATGAATATTCTTCCTTTCGCCTTTCCTGCAATAAGTGGAAGTGATCTCCGAACATCCTTCTTTTTTTAAAGTAGGTAAAAATAATTTTACTCCAACTTTTTATCTCACCTAAATAGAGATCTCTTTTTTTTAAACTTCGTTTTCAGTACGAATAATATTAACTATAGTATTATTTATTTAGTTATTAAAAATTATCATCCAAATCAAAGTCATGAAGTAAATACACCTAAATCATGATAAACAGTAAAAAACTGCATTATATTTAAACTGCATTCATTCTTTTTGTAGTCGGTAAAATAGAATAATCAACTAGCCATTTTTTTTTAATTTATGTGTGTTACGGGAACTTGAGCAGTATTTTAAAGTCCTGTATTTATTTTTCCCTCTATGCTACCCAAGAAACCCTTATTTAAGGGATCCTTTAAATAATATAGAGAGGTTAAAATATACAGTCGTGTAACATGAAAAAATATCTTTAAAAAGACTATATATAATTATGTATATGTACAAGAATTGACGTAGTCAACATATATTACATAGGTAAATTAAAATGTAAAAGTAGTTCCGTAGTTTCTCACAAAGATGGCGTTGTGCCGTCTGACTGAATGACGGTGTTAAGAGTCTCCTCGAAGTAATGACTTCAGCTGTGAATTTAAATAGTTAGCTCACCAATATAATACGCTTTTAAATAGCAATCTGTGGTATTATTGCTCTCTGTTATTTCTATCTACTCCTATTATCCAGTGAACCCTATATGTATAATTTATTTGATTATTTTGCATGCGTGTTAATTAAACCCGTTCACCGCCATTTAGGTGTTAAATAAAAAAAGATATAAATATATAAAAATACGTTTATTATCAACAAATTACATAAAATATACAAATTTATTAACTACAATAATTATCACTTTTATATATTTATACATAAATAATTTACCAAGCACAAATATTATCTTTGGTTGCCATTTGTTAATTTAATAATTACAAGTCTACTGTACTACCAGGCAATTATTAACAATTATCTTGTCACTGACCTGGTACTGGGAGATCTAACACGGTGTGGTACTGCGGTAAGTTGTTGGGACCGGAACCGACCTGTAAATAATACAATAATAATATTAACCAAGAAGTTGTAACTGTTTTGAATTTCTTTTTTAAGACTCACAGGTGCGTAGCCGATTTTTGAATAGGGGAAGGGGAGAGGTAGGTTGGGCTCTCTGTAACTTCATTTGGGGGATTTAATTTCTACTGCACGGATGGCGTAGTTGTTAGGGCGGTCGCCATGCCACTTAGTACTGCGCCGAGTGTTGTGGGTTCAAACCCCACATGGGACTTACAACACTTTGTGTGATCCACAAATTGTTGTTCTGAGTCTGGATGTTCTTTGTGTCCGTTTCATGTTTGTAAAGTCCCCTGCGACACAGGATATATTCCTAATGCGTGTGTTGACTTTTTAAAAAGAAAATTAAAAATTGTTTATGTGGTCTGTTCGGTTTTGTCCCCTTTCTGCTTTTGTCTCTAAATGTAACGCCTAGAGTAATTTGTAGAGATTTCCCCCCTTTTACTAGATTTTTTCCCATTTCATGAGTTTGCTCCCAATATTTTTTTTTTTCTTCTCCTACTGTTCCTTATGTGTTATTATTGTGTGTACAAGAAAAAGATATTTGCCTTATATTTTAAGCAGATACTTAAATTTAATACAAAAAATTAATAAAAGGTCGTTTAAAAAAAGGAGTTCATTATTATATACACCTGAGAAAAAAAAATGTGGGACACAGATATATGGATAGTATCCGTAGACACATTTGTAGAGCTATCTAAGGAACGCTTTTTGTACTTTTTCAAGAAGAAGAGCGTATGTGTGTATGAGGGGGTTAAATGAAAGCAAAAGAAGATCTCGTGGGCAGTAGTATGATGCGGATACCTCGATGTACTTGGGGCGCAGGTGCGAGGAGGGCCGGAGCTGCTGCTGCGCGGCTGCGGCGGCGGCGATGGCGCCCGAGGGGGGGGGCAGGCGCGCGCCCGGCGTGCCCGCCCCGGCCCCCCCGCCCGAGCCTCCGCCCCGCGACCCTCGCCGTCGCGCCTCCTCCAGGCTGAGGGGGGGACATTAGTCTTAATGTTCTGAGACACGACACATCTCACACCTAATCATATATTAGACAGACACAATATAAATAGGGAATATGCACGTGACACCAAAATGGACAAAATATTTTTATTTGTAATTTTTATTGCTAAAAAAGATAACCCTACAATTATTTTTGAAATTTATTTTAATTTAATAGTGAAATTTAATCATCAAAAATTGGCTTTTTTAAGATTCCCTCGCAAATTTCTAAAACGCAACGCTATTGGTTGAATGAAACGTGACGTCAACCTACACTGTCAAGAGTGTCAACAAGTTGTGTGTATTTGTAATATTTGGTTTCTGGTGATTATTTGTTTCATTTTAAGTTAATAACTAATACGTTTTCAGTGTTAAATTATTAAATTCCCGTGTAGAAAGACTCAACACAATGACTGAATCGTTTAAAAAAATAAAAAAAATACATGCATATTCCCTATTATAGTGTTCATAAAACTATTTATCCTAGGTTAATCGAACTCGCTACCTACCTATAGCTCCGAAGCCAGGTTCACTAACCATTTGTCCAATAAATTTGTCGAAATTATTTAAAACTAATCATTTAAAACATGCAATGAGATACATAAGGTTTTCTATAAGTTCGTAGTATCATTCCGGTAAATCATCATCATCAGCCAATAACATTGGACATAGACCTCTCCTTAGAAAGGAGGTTTTGACCTATACCACGCCAACGCCAAACGGGTTTCTATGCGGGCCAAAATTTTCCAGTGCAGTGCTGTTGTCCTGCGTAGTTTGCTCCCTTAGTCGGCTCTTACGACACCCACGGGATGTATAGGTGTGGTGAAACTCCGTATTCTTCAGCCGTCACCATCATCCATTCTAGTAAAGCCATATCTTCCAAAGCTTAGCTCCCCTACATTTAAGATATGTCATATCTCTATTATTTAAAAATAATTTAAATATTTAGTATAGTACCTCAACAGTTTGGTGGGCGGATTGATCGGCAAACTCTTCGGTCGCCTGCAGGACTCATTACCGCGTAACTCCACTAGAGACTCACATCGATCCTGGACAAAATACATACATTATTTATTATTTTTATAACATTAATAGATTAAACAATACAAGAATTAAAAGACAAAACAAAACTGTCAAACACAAAAACACTATATTGAGTTACTCAATAGATGGCGTTGATCTGACTAAATCGCGTTATAATTGGATACACAGTTCGGTTCCTATAGTTTGAGATCAGACTAGATAGGAACCGAACTGTTAATAAACATACTCATATATTTCTCATCAACAGCCTTAAATAGTCCACTGCTGGATGTTTTAAGTTTTTAGAAAGGAGGTTTTGACCTACTATACCACGCTGGCCAGACCGGGTTGGTATAGTATTTGAGTCAAGTTCTCCTTCTCTTTGTCCTGCGTAGTTTGCTCCCTCAATCAAATCTTACGACACCCACGGGATGAATAGGGGTGGTGGCGTCACACGGACATATATTTCTAAATACAAGCATATTATATACACATTAACCCAGACAAAGAACAAAATGATTCTGTTCATCAAACAAGAAGAAAACTAGTTCCATGACTGCTGGCATAGCAGTCAGAATTGCTAAGCACTAGACTAACAGGTTGTATACTTACTTGTTCCAGCGACTCAGGTCCGGAGTCAGCGTCTTGCTCTTCAGCGAACAACTCCTCAGCATAGCAGATCAGGAACTCTGTCACCACCGCCTAGAGAAGGAATACAATTAGTTATATTTGCTTGAATGTAGCTAAGATAGAAAAGATAAAGAAAGAAAGAAACTTTGGAAATTTATAAAGTCAATTAAAAAAATAATATAAATCACAGAAAGTGTCTCACATGGGACAACACCGTGAGAATTTATAAATAGTTGTTCTGAGTCTAAGGGTTTTTTTGTCCGTTACATGTATGTCTGTAAAGCCTCCGTGACACAGGATATATTCCTAAAATAGGATCGAGCGCTCAGGATAACAGCGACCCACTACAATCCGTGTTGAGGGTGGGGTTGACCATTATTCATATGTTAATCTATACTAATATTATAAAGCTGAAGAGTTTGTTTGTTTGAACGCGCTAATCTCAGGAACTACTGGTCCGATTTGAAAAATTCTTTCAGTGTTAGATAGCCCATTTATCGAGGAAGGCTATAGGCTATTTATCATCACGCTAAGACCAATAGGAGCGGAGCACCAATGAAGAATGTTTAAAAAACGGAGAAAATTTATTACTAACTAGCTGAACCGCGCAACTTCGTCTGCGTCTCTCAATAGTAGTAAATTTTCTCCGTTTTGGAAATATTCTTCATTGGTGCTCCGCTCCTATTGGTCTTAGCGTGATGATATATAGCCTATAGCCTTCCTCGATAAATGGGCTATCTAACACTGAAAGAATTTTTCAAATCGGACCAGTAGTTCCTGAGATTAGCGCGTTCAAACAAACAAACAAACAAACAAACAAACAAACTCTTCAGCTTTATAATATTAGTATAGATGAGAGACGCAGACGAAGTTGCGCGGGTCAGCTAGTAATAATAATATACCTTACACATTTCACACACGGCCATCTGATCCCAAACTAGGCAGAGCCTGTGCTATGGTGATCAGACTGCTGATAAACATACTTATATATTTTTAAATACATACATATTATAGATAAATTACACCCAGACACAGAACAAATGATCATGCTCATCACACAATATTCGTCCTGGGTGGGAATCGAACCCACGACCTCCGGCTTAGCAGTCAGGGGCACTAACCACTCGACCAACAGGCCCGTCAATTAATTACAAACTACAAACATAAAGTTAATCGCAAAGAACGTCAGCACAAGTAGGCCAGGTGGGGGGTACCTGCACGGCGACGCCCTGCAGCGCGTGCTGTGGGCGCGGGGCCCGCAGCAGGTTGGGCGCCCACACGATGGCCATGTTGCGCGCCGTCATGCCCGTCTGCGCGCCCAGCAGCGACACGCGCCGCAGGTGCCGCATCAGGTACGCCAGGGTCCTGTCGATAACGGACGCTGATCGTTTATATCATTACATAAGTAGTACGTGTCCACCGTTTGGACGGGGGGACGAGGGATGGGGTTAGGTTCCGGTGACTCCACTCATTCGGTAAAAAGCAACGAAAGATTTATTTAACACCGGTTTTCTGTGAGTGGATGTGGATCATCTGTGAGAGTAAGAAAGAACATAAACATAAAAAGTTTATTCTTTGTAACTAAAAGTAACAAATTGCACAGTAAAATATGGTTGATAATGACTGCTATAGTTCATAACTGTGTTGCAGCCATTAACGCCTACCTCCGGAAGATAAGTTACAGGTTTCAAGTTTCATCATGCTTGCTAAATATAAACCAAATCAAAGTTAGAAATTAATTTAACAATGTTATAAGAAGTATGGGTCAGAATACGTAGAATTGTTAGTGTGTGTGTGTGTGTGTGTGTTTGTGCGCCCGTGTGTGTGTGTGTGTGTGTTTGTGCGCGCGTGTGTGTGTGTGTATGTGTGAACGACGAAGACCGAATCTCAAGAGTAGTAAAAAAGTTAAAGTGTGACTGTACGAATGGCGTAGTGGTTTAAGCGGTCGCCACGCCACTTTCTATTGCGCTGAGTGTTGTGGGTTCAAACCCCACATGGGATAACACTTTGTGTGATCCACAAATTGTTGTTCTGAGTCTGGGTGTACTTTGTGTCCGTTTCATGTATGTTTGTAAAGTCCCCCGCGACACAGGATTTATTCCTAGTGCGGGAGTTGTCTTTTTTAAAAGATATAAAGAAAAGATAAAGATATAAACTTACCTGTAGTGTGGTGGTGGTAGTTTGACGACGGTGTCCCTGACGGCTTTTAATCGCGCAGCTTCATCCCCTTGTTGCACAGCACTCACAAAACTCTCGTATAGCTGGTAAGTACACAGAGGGTTCGGTAGCTCCCTGTCGAACGAAACAAAATCATTATATGTTGTTAGTTCAATTCGAACACAAAAAAATATTTTATTTTACGCAAATAGGTGTAATACAAATATATATATATATATAATATATACATACGTTTGATATGTCACACTATACAGTGTGTTGCTTTATGCACTTTTCTTTAAGTACTGTATTACAAAGCGGCGTGTCAAAGGTTAAGTATTCGGCTCGAAGGACCAGGTAATATTGAATTTCGATGATAGTAAAGAATATGTGTAATATATTTATAAACGGAAATGATTTATAAGATTACAAGTGGTATCACATATGAATTAACTAGACACGGGATACAACTATAGTGAATTATAATTCATCGTTTGATTTTTGGGTACGTAGGTTTGGGTCGCTAGACGCTATTTAACAGTAAATCTGTTATTTTTTAAATCATTATGCAGGGAACGGTAGGTATATATAATATAACAATGATCGACACTATGGAGCGATCGTGAGGAAGTGAGTGCGGAGTACCGACCGGAAGTAGCACTTGAGCAGCGAGGGCACGGCGTGCGGGTCGCGCGCGAGCGCCGCGTGCAGGGGCGGCGCGGCGAGGTCGGGGGGCGCGCCCGCGTCGAAGGCGGCGCGCAGGCGCTGCGTGAGCCCGGCGCCGCCCGACAGCCGGTACACGCCGTCCACGGGCCCGCGCGCCTCGATCAGCGACGCGCACGTCAGCAGCACCTGCGGCACTGACACCACCACCGCACCTTACTCTCCGTCGACCTCATATTCGTCATCGACAGCCTTCACTAGTCCACTGCTGGACATAGGCCTCTCCTTAGAAAGGAGGTATATTCTTCTACTCGTCGTAAATAAGTCATGACCGTACAATAATGTCGGTTTTGAAAGTAAAACGAGATTCAGTTTTAACCATATTTAGATACTACATTGTCTAAATATTATTACTAAATTTAAGAACAAAATATTTATTTTACATTTTAAATTATTTTGTGTTTGTTTGTAAGGCGCTCAAAATAAAATAAGGAATGTGATTTTTCTACAAAATTATATTATTATTAGTTGTTATTTTTATTGTATTTTAAAACAAACACTATTTTTTACTTGTATGCCAATTTTCATAATTACAGATTTAGAATTAAAAAAGTTATGTCAAAAATAACATAATCATTTAAAATGGCTGCCATGTAAAGTTAAATAAATGTCAAATCCGCCACTATTCTAAGACGACGACAAACTTCTTGACTCGTATTATATAATTAGAACAGTACAGATGTAGACTTTAAGACTTCAACACCAGAACAATAACCACATAAGTATGTCATCATCATCAACAGCCTTTAACAGTCCGCTGCTGGACATAAGCCTCTCCTTAGAAAGGAGGTTTTGGCCTACTATACCACGCTGGCCAGACGGGTCGGTATAGGGTTTGTGTCAAGTTTTCCTTCTCTCTGCAGTGCTGTTGTTCTGCGTAGTTTGCTCTCATAGTCGGCTCTTACGACACCCACGGGATGAATAGGGGTGGTGACACTGTATTCTTAATCCGTCACCACACCATAAGTATATACATAGTGCAATGTACCTTAATGACATTACTTGATAAATTACTAAAACAGTGATGTTAAAACAATCTACACGATACATTTTTCCTACATGAAATATGTAAAATCCCTCTCAATAAAAACCAACGCCACACGTGAAACAAGTCCGCCACGCCACAAAAATGTCGTAAAGCGAGTCCGCCACGCCACAACAGTGTCATGAAACGTGTTCGCCACGCCACAATGTGGATATACCCCAAGATATGACCACGCACCAAGTTATCCCATAATAACGAATTGACGAGGAATGCGCTGTAACAAATACTCCCTTATATCTATTGGTACCTAAAGAAAACATTCGGTGTTGCCAATATACAACCCTTAAATGCTACTTAAACTAAAAGGTTAACTATTTCTTTGAGGAATAGATGTGGTACTCTTTACACCAGAAGCTCACCTCCTCAAAGGGCAAAGTAATAAAATATGAACACCACCACCTTCCAAAACAACGAAAAAACCTTACTAACAATCACTACCTTCCTGACCACAGTTTAGCAGATGTTCTCCGAGGTCACAGCCGAAGACCCTCTCTCGGAGTATACCTTGCTGCTTCAGACTCCTCCGGGAGGGTCGCGAGAGGATGAAAGAACGGAAGAGGGATATCAGCTTGCCGTGCTTGCGGAGTACTGGCTTGATTGGAGCCACTGCCAGGGATCTGTTGAAGATTTGATAAATTTCATCGTTATTATCATCAACAGCCTTTAATAGTCCACTGCTGGACATAAGCCTCTTCTTAGAAAAGAGGTTTTGGCTTACTATACCACGCTGCCCAGAAGAGTTGTTAAGTGTTAATCTTTTAAATTTAAAACAATTATTTTGCAAAATAATCTCGCTTATTTATAAATTCTTGCAACTAAGACAAAATAAATAGCTCAGTATTCACAAAAAAAAGAAACGAGTGGTAATCGAACCTACGACCTCTGGCTTAGCAGTCAGAACCGCTAACCCCCAAGCCAACACACCAGTCATAAAAGTTTAGTTACAGTTTAAAAGGAACTTACCCCACTATAGGAGGCGGTTGTGTCATGTGACGCGGTACTTTGTCCCCGATGACGGCGACGCAGTGGTGGGGGAAGAACCCCACGCGGAAGCCACGCTTGCCGCGCCACCACAGCGACTCCTGAGGACCTGGCGATACAAATACTTAGAATAATTATTACATTTTAGTATTACTACAAATGCAAGTTTGAATGGATGTATTTACTCATTTATGATAAAACGGATGTTTGAATGTAGATTTTTTTATTTTAAAGACAACCCCCGCATTAGGAATATACAAATTCAAATTCATTTATTTGCAGAATGTAGTACATATAACAGATGTCAATAATTACAATACTGGTTCAGTACATTCTACCATGACAATGGTGTGCAAAAGGTGTCATAAAGTGCTGCACTAGCAGCTCACAGTCCATACTAGGTCAATTTTATTATTAAAAAGATCTTCTATACCATACATATATCCTGTGTTGTGGGGGACTCTACAAACATTCATGAAACAGACGACAAAGAACACCCAGACTCAGAATAACAATTTGTGGATCACACAAAGTGTTGTCCCATGTGGGGATCAGACCCACAACACTCGGCGAAATAATGTAGTATCCACGGTGTAAGGGACGTCGTAACGAATACTGAAATAGTGTGTTCAGACCATCATTCTGAGTCGAAAATCATTGGCATTTTCTGCCGGAAAATTAAACTTCTTATGCAATCAGCTAAGGTTAAGGTCATTTCCCGTAGGTACCGCACTAAAGTAATAACTACATGTGTATACCGTGCAAACAGTCTACGCGCACTAACACAAAATGGCGGGCGGAGTGGAGGCGCCACGCGCTTCGGCTGTTTGATTAACTACATTACAGTTTTTTGGTATTTATTAAATTGTTTTCAGTCAAATGTTCTGTATACTCATTGTGAATATCATTTTTAACCAGAAAAAAGGAAAATTAAAAAAATATATATAATTTTCCGGAAAATTCCAACGATTTTCGACTCAGAATGACGGTCTGAATACACTATTTTAAGTATTCGGTACGATGTCCCTTACACCTTGTATTTGAAGTATATTTTCGAACAAATTCGGCCATTTCTAATAAAAAGTTTTAACTCACCTGGCATATCTATTATGGAAATCATGTCGCCAACTTCGAAGCTGATTTCGTCGCGTGCCTGTCAAATAATAATAATAATATTCAAATATTTATCAAAAATAAGCAGAAGCAAAATAAATATGTTGGTCAGTCACTAACTGATTAAGTGATAGTTGTCCATAAGGTAAGATAGGGTAGAGTAGGGTGGGGTAGGACTGCGACCAATGGGTGACGGTCGCAAGGGGTGACGATACCCATCTTGAATAACGTAATATATTTTCCACTACCGATATTTATACCGATGCCAATGGCCACTCGATGGCATCTCAATAGCGTGTCAGTGGTATAACAATGGCTTGGCGTAAACATAAAATAGCAGAATTGAGGCCCAGGATGGTTTCTAGTCGGCAAGAGTTCGTCAGACATCTTCGTATATGGGCGACGGGAAAATGAAAGGCTGAAGTAGCATTAGGACCGAGTCAGACATAGGGCGAGGGGGGGCCGTTCAACAGTAAGGTACATATATTTAAATCGCTTAATTGAATACTCGCCCCTGGGGTACAGGGGCGCGGAGGTAGGACGAGAACGGGGACCGGGAGAGCTGCGGGTGACGGACGCTAGATGTCTGGCTCAACCTTTTAATATGCAAAACAATACCTGCGAAACATATTTCCTGACGGAGTACGCAGCGGCTACAGCCGGCGTGTTGATGGAGGACGAGTCTTCGTTGGCCACCAGTAGCTTGTGACCTGTAATTAACTCATTTATATCAATTTCGTAGATGACTGGTTAAGATCTGTAGATGTCCCGGTCTTAGTAGACTCTCATCTCTGATCTTAGACCAGAGATAGTTACACGACCCGGGTTTCTTCGGCCTACTACAGTTTCAGTACCATTTCCTATGAGAAACTTGCGGTATTTCTTACCCTAAAGTCCATTCGCGTTAAGAAAATAGGGACGCATTGATCAAGCTCCGCCCCTGACCAATCAGCATCCAAGCTTTCGTATGAACCGATAATTTGTTGAATCCTGATTGGTCAGGAGGTGGGTCTAGATCGATGCGGCGCTGTTTTCTTAAGGGAATGGGCAATAGTATATGATTAGTACACTAGCCTGGAGTATATGAAACTCAATCAGATTAAATCGACAGACAATTTTTTTCTAAAAAAATAACTCCCTGACTAGGAATATGTCCTGTGTCAGGTGTCATGTGTTTACAAACATACATGAAACGGACACAAAGAACACCCAGACTCAGAACAACAATTTGTTGATCACACAAAGTGTTGACCCATGTGGAGATCGAACCCACAAAACTCACCGCTGTATCAGCACTACGCCATCAGACAAATCAATTTAGAAAGACGTACCTTTATTGTCCATCTGCAGCCAGTTGAGTACGGGCCCGCAGTTGATGGAGTCGTCGGCGATGATGGAGAGGTGGTGCACGTAGTCGCTGATGAGGCGCGCGTACTCCAGCGCGCCGCAGCCCCGCGCCAGAGACGTGCGCAGGTTGGGCAGCCCCGACACCTTGCGGTCGTATATGCACCTGGAAGCGGGAAGGCCGTTGACCATTGACTTTTTTAATGGAATAGGCGGTAAACGACCAGACGGGTGCACCTGATGGAAAGCGACTACCGCCACCCATGACCGCCTGCAACTCAGGAGTCACAAGCGCGTTGACAGCCTTTGAGGGAGGAGTACGCTCTTTTCTTGAAGGTTTGAAGGTCGTATCGGACTATTACTGGACTCCTTTTTTTCTGTATACCGATGACCTATGATATATCTATAGTAACATTTAATTAAACTCATTTGTGTATTATTCATTAGTTTGTGGCGACTCCCACATACAAAGAAACATACTACAGCGCCATCTATCGAAAACACACCGAACTGCGGAGTAACTAAAAGGAGAATTGCTAATCCTGTATCGCGATATAAAGAATTCTCTCGCCGGTTAGCCTATATACAACTTCCCAACTCAACCGCTGGGCCGCGCCCCGCCAGGCATGATCATCTCGCCTGGTAGGAGGATCCTCCCTTTGTGTTGGAGGGACATGACACCCGTTCCTCCGCAGGTTTTTCCAAAGTGATTTTATAGATAAATGTATATTTTTAAACAATTAAATTACATGTATACATACAAATATAAATATAATACATTTTAAGGAGATTACTAGCTAGGAACAGTAGATTTAGAAGCCGCCTTCTATATTTTATAATATTATAAAAGTTTCCATCGAATAAACATCTATAGTGCGATTCAGAAAACTCAGTGGCTTTTTCAAATAGTTCAACTAGATGGCGCTAGGAGTACATACCTGTGCAGCATGTCATCGAGCTGGAGGAAGTTCTCCCTATTCCTGGTGAGAGTCCACTCCCTGACATCACTAGCCTCGGTCCAGCTGGAGCTGAGCGCTCGAGACTCGCTCTCGTCTGACGAGCTCACGTGAGAACGGACCTTTAGGCAGATCCAACCTAAGGACAAAACATAATATCTATACAAATAAATAAAATTGGAGTGTCTGTTTGTAATATTAAAATAACCGCTTTTTACTAAATGCATATGTATGTTTACACGGTACATATGCCAAAATAACATTTTTTACAATTTTTGTCTGTCTGTCTGTCTGTTTGTTCCGGGTAATCTCTGGTACGGCTGGACCGATTTCGACGGGACTTTCACTGGCAGATAGCTGATGACATAAGAGGTAACTTAGGCTACTTTTTTTAGACTAGCTTCGCCCCGCGGCGTTGCCTGCGGTTATAAAAACAAAAGCGGGTAACACCGCGGGTCTCAGTTAGTGTATATATAAAACGTTATACGTGTGGTGACGTATTAAGAATACGGAGTGTCACCACCCCTAAACATCCCGTGGGTGTCGTAAGACTAAGGGAGTTATAATGATTTATGGCAGGTGATTGTGATTTTATTCCATTGCTAATTGCCACCCAAGACTAGTGTTGTGTATTGAGCACGATTATTGTTCCGTGTAGTGACGGATTAAGAATACGAAATATCACTACCCCTATACATCCCGTGGGTGTCGTAAGAGCCGACTAAGGGCGCAAACTACGCAGGACAACAGCACTGCAAAGAAAATGAAAACTTGAAACAAACCCTATACCAACCTATCTGGCCAGCGTGGTATTGTAGGCCTAAACCTCGTGTCTAAGAAGAGGCCCATGTCCGGCTATGGCGGTGGACTATTAAATGCTGATTATGATAAAGTCTTATAGGGATGTCCCTGGCAACGGTCTAGAATATCAGTAACCTTAACCTGCCAACAATCACTTGGAAAGCAAGGTTGGCGTACATACATATGTCATTTACTACCCAGACCAGGGCAGCCAAAGACGGTAGGACGCCAACTTTTTTTATGGTATTTGGAGGGTACCTGCTGGTAAGTATTTATAGCCGACCATAGACAACTGCAAGTTAAGAGTTATTTTTCCTTTGAGTTCCACTCCCCATAATCAGTAGAAGGGGTTGCCGGGTTGGGCTCTGGTAACCTAACTCATAGTTAAAACATCAAAAAAAATATATTAACACCCATTTTCTGTGAAGGCGGTTTTATCACCCCAGTCGAGCCGGCCCATATGGTGTCGAAGGATGTTTTAATATATAAAATACTGACTGATCGCGATGACTGGCCTCTTGGTATTCCGGTTAGTGATTCTGACTGCAAAGCTGGAGGTAGTGGGTTCGATTCCCACCCCGGACAAATACGTAAGTGGGACTAAAATTAGAGTCGCGAAAATGTGAGCTTTAAATACTGCTGTCTTGCCCTCCCTCCGGGATAAAACACGTAATCTTTTTATATTTTTTTTATGTCAGAGGGAGCCAGACGAGCAGACGGGTCACCTGATGGAAAGTGACCATCGCCGCCCATGAACTTCTGCAACTCAGGAGTCACAAACGCGTAGCCGGCCTTTTAGGAAGGAGTACGCTTTTTTCTTGTATAAAATAAATCACACAATTGTAATTTAAATCCAATTGGTCATATCTGCCACTTGAATGAGCGTAGAGTGGCAGATTAAAACGTTAGGTATAGGGTGATAACGCCGATACCGAGGACGATAACTGAGATAATACTGCAGAGATGAGTGGAATCAAAGTTCTAGATTTCGATTAAAACAATTTTATTTTCCTGTGTTTATAAAAATGGGAGAGCCGAGCTTCAATACCACGACCTAACAGGATAGGTTAAAGTAACTTTCACTGAGTTAATGAGATTACATTGGATAACCTTTCTTACCCCCCCCCCCCCCCCCAACTAACTCAGGGGGGGTGAAACTCCCAAGGAGGGGTAAAGCACTAGTCTTTCGAGTGGGCGGCGGTAGTCACTTACCATCAGACAACCCATCTGTTCGTTTTTATTTTTAAACGATTACTAGCAACCGAAATGACTAGTATTCAAGTTAACCCGTCCAGCTAAGCAAACTTACTTGTGTTAAGAGTGGGTTCACGTCGGTAGTGTACTGGTCAGGATTCGAACTCACGACCTCTGATCGCAAGTCCAATACCTTAACCATTAGGCTACCGCCGCTTTGTTGTGTCTACCCCCATATCATGAAATCATTGTTTCAGAAATACCTGTTCCATTTATTCTAACCGATCACTTGATTGGAGACATTTAAGTTACATTCAGTCAAAAAAGTATGAGGAATGGATGATTTGTTTATAATAATATAATAATATTGTACCACATTTACACAAAGCCATCTAGTCCCAAACTAAGCAGAGCTTGTACTATGGCTACTAGACAACTGATATAAATACATATATACTTTTTTTTTGTAAATACATACATATTATACATAGAAACACCCAGACCAAATCAAACATTAAATGTTCATGCACACAAATGTTTGACTTGAGCGGGAATGGAACCCGCGACCCTTAGAATAGCAGTCCGTTACACAAACCACTACGCCATCCGGTCGTCATGGTTCCAAATTCCATTTTTTGTTTTGTTTTTGTTGTTGTTAGATTGGCACAACTGTTTTCCATTTTGGCGAGGAGTTGAGTTGCATCAAACTTAACTCAATTACGGAAACAACGTTTAAAAATGTTTTGATGATTGGATTATTCGTTGGGTTAAGTGTATTGTTTCTGAAGGATACTTTGAAGGTGATAAAATAAATTTGGATGAATAACAAACATTTTGTGTATTATTGATCTTTTCCCTGTACTTTCTTGACAGAGTAGTAACACGATAGGACACCGATTCAATCCTATTCCTATTTGGAGAACATAGTATGTGACCCTTTTTTTTTTTTTTTTTTTTTTTTTCCGTGCGGAAATCCCCTCGGATACCACCTGTCGGTGGCATGTCGGACACGAACCGACTAAAACCGCACGCCTTCGCCGGGTACTAATAGCCGGGGAACCAGGTATACCCTAGAAAGGAAGGCCCTGGTGATAGTATGTGACCCTGGCCTGCACGAGTATTAGCAACACTCTTATCCTCAACTATCTTCTCTTCTAAAAGGCTATAGATACCAAGAATTCTTAAACGGTAGCTCAATCCCCCCCCCCCTCCAAGTTCTTTTTACTCTTTTTAAAAGCCTACCACACTTCCAGCATTGATAACTACATATGGGTTGTTCATATAACAAAAGAGGCGAGAAGACGTACCTTCGTCCAAAGAGTCCTGACACTTCTCTTCACAGGGCACAGTCTCTATACTGAGTCCCCCGAGGGAGACCCTCTCGTAATGGAAGTGCGCGCACTCCTCCAGCTTCGGGAAGCGGCAGGAGGGTACTGATGGCGAATCCTGGAAAATTTAGCAAATATATTATAAAACTACAGCCACAGCGAAGCGTGCCAGGGTACAACCCTGGCACGCTTCGCTGTGGCACAATGTGGTTGCATTGATGAGAAGTGGCAAATTTTTAGGCTCAATCGGTGCAGAACAGAACCAGCTTCAAGGTGCAAGGTCCAACCAGACCTTGCGCCTACCGACTATTACTTTTTCCAAAATTTAGACAACTTCTTAGTGGGTAAAAAAATCAATTCCCGAGAGGCAGTACAAAATGCCTTTGAAGAGTTTGTTGCCTCCCGTCCAGCTGATTTTTACAAGAAGGGCATCAATAAACTGCCAATGGGTTGGCAAAGATGCGTCGATTGCATGGGTGATTACTTCGAATAACAGAAATAAAAAAGTTTGAAAAAATAAGTACTTTCACTTATTGCATACAAAACGGCAATTTCATAGGCAAAGACCTATTATATTATTAATTTGGACTCATTACATAATTAGTAATTACGTAGTGTAGGACGCTCACGGGCTAGGTGGAGTGACGATTTAAGCAAGAAGGCTGGCAGGAGCTGAGGGCCAAGTGTTAGTTTATTTAACTTCTACTCCATCATCACGGTGACCGCGTTTGGTGCTACGATTGGCCTGCACTGAAATATCTACCAATCGCAACGCCAAACGCGCTCGCCTTATGAAATAAACTTGCACTCAGCCCTCTGGATACGAGAAGCCCAATCGATCTAAGTGGCTTAGAATGGGAAACGCATATGTTCAGCAGTGGACTGCGATAGGCTGATGATGATGACATAATGAGTATTATAGTTACTTGAAATATTTTTACTTAGCCATACAGTTTTAAGGATGACTAAAATATTAAGAATACATTGCCCACAACGCCATCTAGTGAAAGCAAACCGAACTACGTGGTGAATATTAATACTGCATCGCACAATTAGGGCTCTCGCATATCAAAGGCATTCGCTTGTCGTTTCCATACAAATTCTTTAGTTTTAAAACCTTAGGTTTCTTCACTTACCGCATCATCTTTGTCGTACGTAGCTGACGCTGACGGCGCAGACTGGCTCATGGCGGAGCTCTGTGACGTCACCGGGGTGACTGTCAACGCCGTCAACGATATCGAGCCTGAAAACCAAAGACAAAAGTTTAAAAAAAGTTTTTAAGACATCCTAGTTTAGAGTTTTGGAATAAGGTTGTTTGCGATCCCGAGTTTTTCTTGAATAGGTTTCCAGATAGACTTTTATTACTCGTGTTTTATGATTACTACAGAAGGTGTAAGCTTCTGCATATTTCTTTTATTTTTGACATAATAATTATAACAACACTAACAAACAACAGAAATCAATCAAAATCAGTGCATCGGTTTTAGAAGTTCATAGGTGACAAAACAGTACAATTTCTTTTTCTTCTCTTTGTCAACAGACTTATTTTTTTTCCGTTGTATAATAAAATGGATCCGCTTTGGTCCTCTAATTTAGACAAAGCTACATTTCTTACCAATAATTTAATAAAAATTGTCCTATTTCAACCGGGGTCCTGGCACCAGACACCCTGGTCGTATTGGTGTATCAAACAAAGATCATCATAAAAGAATGGTGCAGGAAGTGGATGATGATATATTATTTTATGATACTTACCAGGGGTTTCCCTTTTCGTATCTTGTTCATTGGAGGTTCTGTTCGAACTGCGTGAGTCCGAACTGAACCGCACAGACCTGGAAAACAAATATATAAATTAATACACACTAACAAATCCATACTAATATTGTAAATACTAAAGTGTGTCTGTCTGCCTGTTCTCTTCTCTCTTCACGCTCAAACCGCTAAACCGATTAAGATGAAATTTGGTATGGAGATAGTTTGACTGTTGAGAAAGGGCATAGGCAATATAGGCATTGACAATATTACAAATTATCTAAACCAACTTATCTAAACTAATATTATACGGATCACGAAATTTTGCATAAACTTCGTGAGAAGTATAGAAAAGGACGAACATAATTGAAAAAAAGAAACTTTATTGTCTATATAACATGTTTCAAGTTTTATCCTTACATGAAAATCAACTCTCGTGATTGTTTTAATTAGCCATTGTTAAAGGTGAAACCGTGTGTCGGAATCGAATCGAATATTCGTTTTAATGGTATGGTGGCAATCGAAACAGGTCACCAGAATAAGGGAGGGGCTTCGGGTACCACACACGGTGAAATGAAAAGAAAGGCTGTGGTATTATTCCGGTCGAGTCGGCCCATTTGTGAAGAAGCACGGCTGTCCCATAGTTGCTAATTCTAAATCTTCACGTCGTCCCATTACAATAAAGACATTTGGAACAGACTTATAAATAATTGGCACTCCATCACTATGCTCTTTTCAAGACACTTTTTGCTTCGTACAAGCAATCTGTGAAACAAGTTATCGTCTGCGGTATTCCCGGGTCGATAAGGCCTTCAAACATTCAAGAAAAGGGCGTACTGTTTCCTCGAAGGCCGGCAACGCGCTTGTGACTTCCGAGTTGCAGGTGTTCTCGGGCGGCGGTAGTCGCTTTCCCTCAGGTGACCAGTCTGCTCGTTTCCCAGCAAGATACCATAAATAACGACTGAAACTTCTAAATGTATAAAGATACTAGCTGACCCGGCAAACGTTGTTTTGGCATATACATTATTTAACAAAATAAGGCCAAAAAAAAAATGAAAAGGGGTGGGGTATGAAAAATAGATGTTGGCTGATTTTCAGACCTACCCTATATGTACACAATATTTAACGAAAATCGGTCCATCCGTTTCGGAGGAGTTCAACCACGCACACCGTGACACGAGAATTTTATATTAAAGATATATGTATAAAGATATATTGTTGGAAAGAGAACATAACTCACCTGTGGAAACTTGCGCAGTGAGTCATGCTGTCCTTGTCTGGCTCGGCGAACGCGCGAGCAGCTAACGACTGGCAGGACATCACTGATCCGTGTGGGGAGCCCTGGGAAATAAGATGGGTTATTATTAATCCACTAATTCTACCATAAAACATTTTCAGAAGAAACTTTGCTGTCGTGGCCTGTACAACCACAGATTGGACGTACGAGGTACGTACTGGTGTCTGAGTGCAGTTTCCCCAGAGAGTTAGCTCAGACAGGCGGCCGTTATAGAAACCCTATGCAATATTACAAAATGCGTTGACTCAGATAAAACATGGAGAAGGGAAGGCAAATAATGTTACTGACGAAATATGTCGAAGTGTGCGACAATTTAGTGATAATAAAACAATTAATTTTATAGTACGGAGACAGGGGAAGGCTGTACCGTCGGGGACCAGGGATTTCCTTTTTAGATTACACCTGGTTTCCCGGCTACTGTTACCCGAGACAGGGTGCGGTTCGAGTTCGACATAACCACCACCCGTCGGTAGTCCGGTGGGTGGTTTGCGAGGGGATTGAGCTGTGTAGTCACGGCGTTAGACTATCAGAAGCTAAACCAAGTCTGTTACCAGTAAGATGGTTCGAACCTCGCAATAGTCACATCGATTTAAAGGTTCGAGACCCTGACCTACACGAGTTTATTTTTAAAATAACTCAATTGACGTGCCACCCATCATATCCCTAAAACTCCTACAAACCCTATTATCTAATATACTAATGGCCCTCTAAATACTTTCTTTTTTTTCGGTCAACAGCACCAGATAAGCAAGCCCGTTAACCCTTCAAACACTCGACTGCACTCCATCGTTATCAGCCGGTTTAGTAAGTACCTAACGATGTTAGGGTTAAGATAACATTTAAGTGCAGACGATTATATACATACACTCAAGCTTGTAACCATAAAAGGGTATGCAGAGATGTGGTAAATATGCACATTTTACTACGTTATGCAATTCTTAGATAAATTAATTTAAAAAAAACACATCTCACACACGGCAGTCTGATCTCAAACTAGGCAGGGCCCTGTGATACGGTAACCACCAGACTGCTGATAAACATGCTTATAAAAATGTCGATAAAAATAGATGAAAATAAAATCGTTTCAAAATTTAGCTCAATCGGTGCAGAACTTTTTGAGTTTTTGAAGCGTACACAAACAAACTGACGGATGGCGTAGTGATTAAGGCGGTTACCCCACCGCTTCCTACTGAGTGTTGTGGGTTCGACCCCGCATGGGACAACACTTTTTGTCATCTACAAATTACTGTCCTGAGTGTAGGTGTTCTTTGGATTTCGTTTCATGCATGTTTGTAAAGTTCTACACGACACAGGATATATTCATTGTGCGAAAGTTATTTAAAAACAAACGAAGCAAAAACTTAACATTTTTACATATATGTATATTTTTACATAGTCTACTGTCTATGGACAGACGAATAAGTTAACTTCCATCTCGAAAACTGTTAATACCATTTCCCATGGCGAATATTTTTACTGTGACACTTTTATGACCTATTAAACTCGGTGTGAGGCCGGGTCTCACCGCGCGCGATGAGCGATCAAAAACAAGAATACTATTATTGATGTGTGTAATCTTTCAGTGCACTTTCCTGAAATCTTAAGGTTTTTTTTTTACAAATGAGACATACAAGAAACATAGAAAGTGCGCTTTCTGATTTGAAATGAGTGTGATGATGGTTTTTGTCATGAGAGGGCCCAGCGCAACTGTTTTTCACATCAACTCGCTCTTCAGATCCTGATCTGATGCCGGGAAGTCCGGTTCTCTGCCAGTTGCCTTGGGGTGGTGTAGAGATGAGTGATTAAGTGCACTAAACTTGAATAAAAAAGCCGTGTGGTGTCGTGGGACACCCGATAGGAACGAAGTTGTAACGATCGAGTAAAACTGATTCGGCACATTTTAATTACAACGCCATCTATGAAAGCGGCTATTACCTACATATTTTTCAGTTGGTTTCCAATTAAAACAATTTATTCATTGGTAAAATCTCCTTGAGAAATGATTTCCTATCTATTCGATAGATGGCGCTGAATGACTGACATAAAAAGATAGAAATGAAAATATCTGGCTTGCTTTCTATAAGAGAGAGAGAGACAGACAGAGAAACATGCGACGCCGCACAGCTTACAATAGCTTACTATAGCAAAAAGTGTCGTGACCAATTTTCGTAAGAATTTTTTCCGTCTAGCCCCCTTTCACAACGCGCGATAAGGAACTTCGTTCCAAAAGTTTCAATAAACAAGACGTAACTAGGAAATACATTCACACCAAAGGTAAGCGAAAAAATGTGGATAGAAAACTTTTACGTTACTGATGGCTTTTTAGAAAAATACGTTAGCAATTACACTACAGCCTTTTTACTTGTAATATAATTACCAAATAACCTTCGCACAAAAGTAATCAAAATTATTTTCTATCTGAAACAAATTCTATTAGAGATATTTAGCGGAACTAAAGCAAATAAATGAACTCGCTACACGCTTTCAGTGCGACCTCGCCCTTCCGTGTTCAAAAATCGTAGAGAATGTTGTTAACCTAGTTTTAAGAATATTTTATGGCACTATAAAATATTATGTCCGGCGGTTCTGTATGCGTTGCCCTTTATAGTAGTATATCATAAAGAATATACTTACAATATTTTTTTATATTTCTTTATTTTTCTTCGTTATTTTATAATATTAACGGGCTGCTGCAATGATTTAAACACAAAAAATGTGCGATGCTTAATGTAGCATAGATTTTTTTTATGTCCAGTAGTGAATTAATGTGTGCTGAAGTTATCAGAAAGCAATTTTAATAATAATTTGACACATCTCACACATGGCCGTCTCATTCCTAACTAAGCAGAGGCTGTGTATGGGAACCAAACTGCTGATAAACATATTTATATTTTTGAAGTGAAAACTTCTTTAGGCGCGTTAGGCATTTTTTAACAACAATTGTATTTTTTAAGATGGAAAAAAACCCATTGAAATCGCGACACTGTTACCGCTACCGACACCTCTGTATATGAGTATCCACATATATTGGCCCCGTTTACACGAGAGTTGAGTATATATAGTGTGTATATACGTACAACATATATGTATATTCATTTCGTAACTTCTCGAATCGAAATAAACAAAAAAAAAAATGTTATATTATTTTTTTATTTTTTATTTGCATGTTTTGACTTCTGTCGGCAATCCCAGAGTGCCACTGTTTTTTTTTAATATTTACACAATGCGATGTAGATAGTACTATCTACTACCATTATGGTATAATTAATTATACTATTGTTATGATAGTCTTTTCAGATACTACAGGATATCTTTTTATGTAATATTGATAGGCCCGTCCGTGTGTTGACGGATTAAGAATACAGAGTGTCACCACCCCTATTCATCCCGTGGGTGTCGTAAGAGACGACTAAGGGAAAAAACTACGCAGAACAACAGCACTGCAGAGAGAAGGAAAACTTGACACAAACCCTATACCAACCCGTCTGGCCAGCGTGATATAGTAGGCCAAAACCTCCTTTCTAAGGAAAGGCTAATGTCCAGCAGTGGACTATTAAAGGCTGTTGATGATGATGATATAGGCCCTGCTGGACGCTACCACCCGGGACGGACGACGGCCGCGTTGCCCCGCATTTTAAATCTCTTATTTCTACTGATCTTTGATGATCTGCTGTAAAAGGTAATTTTGATCTATGTTTAATGCATCAAACGTATTTATTCGGCGTATGATGATGACATAAACCATCTTGGACATTATTTTGATCTATCGCGTAAGGTTTAGTCAGCTTTGCAAAGTAAGCTCACAAAAATATGTTTATTACAACAAATCTTTGAAATTCTCGGATTTTATTTACCATAATATACATGTTACATATAAACCTTCCTGTTGAATCACTCTCTCTATTAGTAATAACCGCATTAATTACTTAGTTTAAATGATCTAAGTGTACCATAAAAAAAGACTGTATTTTATACTATGTACACCGCTACAGTACCTATAAGTTTTGTGCAGACATGTATGGACATCTATATTTGGGACCTCTACATGTGGGACATCTACATGTGGGACATCTACAAGTGGGACATCTACATGTGGGACATCTACATGTGGGACATCTGCATGTGGGACATCTACATGTGGGACATCTACACGTGGGACATCTACATGTGGGACATCTACATGTATTACTACAATCAATATCATCAGTCTATCGCAGTCCACGGCTGGACATAGGCCTCTCCCATTGCACGCCACTTAGATCGATTTTGCGCATTTGATCTTGCGCAAATTGTCACAATCATTACAATAAGCGGTCTTATTGCTACCTCTTACAGATAACCTTAACACGAATATGGCGTACTTTTATAATACTATAATTAAATCATCCGTACTAATATTATGAATGCGTAAGTGTCTGACTTGTTTGTTTGTTATTCTTCTGACTCTTCGCGCTTAAACCGCTGAACCAATTTAGATGTAATTCGGTATAGCGATAGTTCGACTTCCGGGAAAGGACATAAGATACATGTTTGTCTCAAAAATCGACCTTTCAGAGGGTGAAAAGGGGGTCAAAATTTGTTTGGGAATCAAAAACCGCTGCACCGATTTTGATGAAGCTTTGTATCGAGATAGCTTAATTCTTCAGGAAGGACAAAAGTTACTACTACATGCGTTTAAAGTATATATACTACTAACATATATAAATGAATACACAAATATATCAAACATCATCATGTCACATCAACACCCTTTACTAGCCCACTGCTGGACATAGGTCTCTCCTTAGAAAGGAGGTTTTAGCCTACTTCTACTAAATACATACAGAGCTCCATAAATAGTATATTATATAAATTTATATATTTCTGAAGTTGTTGTGTGTCAGTTGAAAATAAAATTTATAAAAATAAATGTTATCCAATATACCTAAACAAAATCTAAAAGAGAAGAGAATATCGATAGAAATACATTAAAAATAATACTGTACTACCGACTATCACTTTAAAAAAAAAAACTAGTGTCTGA